CATAGATTCATTCAATCAATCAATCATTCATTCATTCATGCATTTCTTCATTCATTCATTGATGTATTTATTCATTCATTCTTTCATTCATTCAGTCATGCATTCATTCATTTATACATTCACACATTCATTGTATTACTTATTCATTCATTCAGACATTAATATATGTGAATGGCCGAGCTAGTTCGTAAACATTTGACCGACACCATAGTCAACTAATGTATTTAGAGATTATACATTCAATATTTTCACTAACTATATTTGGGTTTTTATTATTTTACCTACTACAATCACACATAACATGTATTTTGGCCTGCACAAGCAGGATAGAATAGTGAAATACTGTTTAACATATCACACTAGACTTATTGGCGACACTAAGTTTCCTCCAAGTAAATTTTGCATATAATGGGAATAGTGAACTTGACATTTGGCATTCTTTCAGTATCACACTGTATATTGTTAGGGTAGATATGAGAGTGAACTGGATTCAGCAAAGTGTTGCTTGTGGTCACTTTCATGTATATCATATCGTATATATAAGGGGTGGGCATGAAAATGGGTTGGAAGGCCAACAAGAATATTTTATTTGACGCTGAGGGCCTCACCTGAACTTTGATACTTCAAGCACTGCTATTATACCACTTTATGCTCAGTTTTAATTATTAATTTCTACAGATAATCAGTGTCGGGCCATAAAAACAGAAGTTTTCTAACTAAAGCTAGTAGGCGGTCTACACATTGTAGGGTTGTTGCGGGCCACAAAATAATGCCATCAGGCCTCACTTTACCCACCTTTGATATATATCATATATTTTATGATAAATTAAATAAGAAGATATTTGTATGCCTTTAATACTTTTGTATGTAAACTGTGTTTTTCTAGTGTATTTTTATATATTTTTTTATTATCTTTATCTATTCAGTCCTGTTTTTTTTCTATAAATGCCCTATGTAGGATAAATAAAGCTTATTGATTAATTGATTGATTAAACTCCATTCAGAACTGCCAATTATTATATGCTGTCCACGCTTCGCCCTCTTAAAATGGCTGCTAGATGGCAACCAGTGATTGATTATTCATTATATCCATGTTCTTATGTCCAAAGCAATGGTCACTTTACACAAAGTCCACCATCTGGCTCTTCCTGTGGATTAGCTCTGATGTAGCACAGTTTCTACACTGCACCACATAATAATTATGGTGAAGACATTGGCCAGACTTCCTTTAAGTGCACCAAAGACCAGGTGTCTCTATTGTACAAGATTTTGTATAGTATAAGCTTGCTGATATTACATTAAAAAACATATTAAATATATGAACATAATTTGAACCCCTAAAGGGTAGGTTTGCACTATTCAGGTAATGAGGTTACAGGTGGATGCAAGTTGCACATGTGTGTTGCACATGTGTGGAGCACCTGTTTAAACACTTCTAGCTTTGACATTTTTTCCACTTTCATATTTGAAAGAAATCCCCAAATCCCATTTTGTATGGACAATGGTTTTTGTGTACATACATTTGTATTTTATTCAACTTTCACAATTATATGTAAATGGTTTATATTAATCACTTTCACATTACAAATTGTTAACAGCAGCACAATTCAAACAATGCAAAGAAATTAAGAGAATACAAAAAGGCAGTGGGAATAGTTGTCAATACTATCCTCTACAGATTCACCTGATACTACTGTATGTAAGATTCCATCAAGTTATATTGTTAATATTAATACCTGTAGGTGCTTTCTTGCAAATGTTGCTTATGATTTTGGATTCAATGCGATTTTATTTCCTTATTCTAATTTTTACATAGGAAATTAAAAGAACTGGATGAAAACTTAACAGGTTTAAATGAAAACAAGATATCATTGGAACAAAAGGTACTGTATATTAAAACTTTTATTTCTATGTATTTAGTTACTGTATGTCTTTTTTTTAGCTGTTGGTTTTCAAATCAAAAGTCAAAGCATATAGCATTCTTCAACAACAATAATGCTGTATGTAAAAATTCCCATTTTACACTAAAAAATGGAATTGCATAGGATTTACACTTTAACATATATACTACAAAATTAAGTGACAGGAAGATTGGAAAATTATTCTGGTCTTTGGCAGTTTAACCTAATTCCCTAGGCTTAGAGTACAGGGTCTTGTTTTACTCAAATGTACTGTTTTGTACTGATCCCCAGCTGCCCTTGTTCCTGATTGGTCACATGACCAGGAATGGATGCATTATCTCTTTCCTTTCAGCTATTTATGTTAATCCTATATTAGATTAGTACTTTTTATCCATGGATCCTGACAATATTCTGCTGAAGAAATTAAGTCAAATTTACAGAGATATCTTAGATATTTAACTTAATACTTTTTAGGCTGTATTTCCAGAAAGACACAAACATACTGAATGTTCTTATTATTATCAAATATTATAAATTTCCTTTATTTTTAGAGCAATATTCCCTTTTCTATGAATATAGCACCCTCTATTGATGAATTTAAAGTGATTTTAAAACAAGATATGAGAAGCCAATTTGATGGAAGAGTGATTGAATGGCTGTTTTCAAAGGAATGAATTAGTAATCAATCCCTCGCACATTCCCATCATATAATCACGGCTTCCCAATTAATTATTTAGAATTCATGCAATAATTGAGAAGTTTTACTGTCTTAATTTATATGATCTATTTTGGAAGTCTGAAGGAACAGCTGTGTCCCTATTTTATGATAACACAAGTTACAGCCTTCCATATGTTTGTGTATAAATATCAACTAAAAATTAAAATCCATACATTAATTTGGATGCTTGACAAATTTTTATCATTTTGTTTATTCCAATGTTAAGATTTTAATTATGATAATGTTTATCTAAAATGGTGCTTGTGTTGCTGCGTTCTTAACTTCAAATTAGGATCCTACATCTGCTTCAGCGTCCTTCTTTTCGAATCTTTTTTAGCTAGACCTGTTTTTATAATGATTTTCGCAGATATATCTCAGCAGGCAATTTTGTGTATCATTTTTGTGCAGCCAAGGGCCTTCTCCAAATATATGAATATTTCACTTATGCATTGAAAGTAAAAAAAAAATGTTTACATATTTTAAAACTGAAGAGAAAAGTTCAAGAAAAATTATCATGTCTTAACCACTTAAGTGGGAGAGAATACATTTTGTAGAATCGTTACTGTGTATAAATCCACAGTAAAGAGTGATTCCAAATATAGTTTTATTCAGTTTAGGAACATGTTGTTATTGTTGTTAATAGATAAGCTATCTTTCAATTCAATTCAATTTTATATTATTACAAATTAAAATACATCATTGATAATACAGAAGTATAAATATAAAAAAATTGCACATAGAATAGAAAGTTCTTAGGAAATTCCATGAGAAAATTGACTGTCTGGTGACTATGTTTCAGTGGTTTGTATTTGAAAAAGTATATATAAAGGAATAAATAAATTGTTCAAGAAATTAAAATCTGCTTCAGCTTTTGTAGGTCTTTTCCCAAAGTCACTTTAAGTTTTGAATAATGGAACCAAACAATAGAAATTAAGACAAATTTAAAAGTAATAATTGATAAAGTAGATATAGATTTAGCAAACAATCTTTCTATTGAGTCAAACAGTCATTATCATTATTATTAAGAAAGATATTACTGTAATAAATTCTAATTACCTGCTCCTAATTGTCTATGCCTATATGTATTTACCCACTTTTCTTTAAATTATATCATTATATAGTATGAAATTGGCTTTTACAGTACCCCTTTAAGTTGTTTTTTTGTTGTGAAATGTAAGAGTTTTGCATGTGCTGTCCTGATACAGTATACTGTAGGTGGATAGCCATTTAGCTAATTGTTGTGAATAACATTGCGTGAAATTAACAACAATATCCTCACATAGAATTAAAAATACTTTTCGTAATATTACTCAATAACATAAAAATACAGTATGTATACATATGATAAATATGGTAATAATAAGAATAATTATGACAAGTTTGTAAATACATGTATTCTGTATCATTTACGTGTCAATGATACAGAATACATGTATTTACATGTATTCTGTATCATTTATGTGTCAATAACAAGGTAACCTGATCTACTAATAATATACTGCAAAAATGTAGCATTTTGAAGACTAGTTGAGAATTTTATAAACATAGCCTTTGTGTACATAGTACTCTTCAGGTTAACTTGAGGAGGTGCACACCCATCTAGATGTGCAATACTGTGGAAGTCCATCCTTGGGCCCTCACTTTTTGTATTTTTTGTATCCACCTCTGTTGCATATAAATCTAAAAAAATCCTAGAAAAAGTGCAACTTTTGCTTTACTTACAGTATTTTTTGGTCAATTGTTGTTAAAGTAGGAAGGAACTTTCTATTTCCTGTATAGCTTTTAATGTACTGTATACCTTTTATAGTGCCATATTCTATATTTCTAAAGAGGGGTTATTATGCTATATTTGAGTAGTTCTGGTATTTTCCCCTTTTTTTTGTACCTTTTATTATTATTAAATATACTGTATTGTATGCAATCTAAAATATTCCATTTTGTATTTTGGCTAGCTTTGCTTAGAATATTTTAAAATTTGAATTTTTCATACTACTCATGCTCACATTTTTTATTTGTCAATAATATTTTTATTTTATTTTCTCTTCCACTTGGGTGCTTTTAGCAATGAAGTTTACTGAATGAGAAAACAAAATTTTATTTATTTTTTTCTGCTTTTGGATCATTCTGCTTTGGAACATTCTTTAAACAAGATATAAATTTTTTTGTCTAAAAGAGGATAGGGCATTGATGCCCGCTCTTCCAACTGAGTAGCTCTGCTAGATAAATTATCATAATTTAAAAATATGAGTTAAACATATTGAACAAACATTATAGAAAAACGAAAGTAATTTTATTAAAAGCTTTTATTTATTTCTGTCTTTTCATTATGATTATGTTTATTCCCAAAAGAATTTGCCATATATTGATAAGCATTATATATGTCTTATGCAATGATTATGATTTTTTTGAGTAATTAATTACTATATAATTATTATTTAATGAATATTTTTTAATTTCCCATCCAATAGCTTGAGAGTAGACAGAAGCAGTTCCATGTTCTCATCAACTCGTTGCTCGAGCTCCAGAGAATTCTACAAGGTATGATCATGTGACCTGATTATCATATCACTAGGGTACATTCCCCTAGCCTTGCATATCAATTGCCGTACTTAGTACTTAACGAGAGATGTCTTACGATGATAAGAACTGTAGGTTTTCACAGGAAGATATTTTTGACAGCAAAAAAATACAGAATTCCAAATCTAATTTTTGTAATGTAATGCACTGTTCTCACATCATTCTATGGATACAGTGAGGAAGTTAGAAAGTTTAATCTCTTGATTATTTAAATTGAGTTTTTTCCTCTTGTTTATGTCTTCTTATATTTACAATCCATGCTCAGAACTTCCCTGTACTAGGTACATTATTCCCATGGTGAATAGTATTGAACTTTGGAATGACCTCCGTGGCATGCTACCGTTGCAAGCTATAAGAATTCTGTAATATTCTTGGGGGTAAAACATTAGAGCTCGGGTGAGAATTTCATCAAAACTAATACCATCTGACTTAAACTTTTCCCCCTTGGTTGCAGATTTTTTGCCCCTTCACCAATTTCAGGTGAAGCTGTTCCATCTCTGCCTAGTACGATCTTTGCAGGCTTGAGACTTTGAAGCCTAGCTGTGTCGGATCCCAGGAAACCAGCTGATTGTATGACTCAGATCTGGAGCCAATGCTTTAAGCTTAGCGATGTGTCATGTTTAATGTCATCTTGTCCTTCCCCATAGCTACCAACTGTTGCAAAGTAGCCGGGAGTCACATATGCAGGCTTCCTGTTCCCAATGTCCTACTCCCAACGTGCTCACGTTTTAGCCGAATCACATTTGTTATGTGATATATTTAAAATCATTCATTGCACACAATATGTTTAAATAGCCAATTTGAAGTTGGCGAATTTTTTCTATTCAAACAACATTGTACATATTGTATAATAATTTAACAATGTTGCATACCTCATGATGTAGTAAATGACTTATTAAAATAAGTAATAATATTTAAATATTCAATCCAGTAGATTGGTTTACAG